AAGGAACTCTTCATGTTCGATCGGCGCGGCTTTCGCAACATACGCAGCAAAATGGTATGCATTTTTGCGCGCCGGTGTTGCTCTGCGTACAGTGCATTTTATGTTACGCGCAAAAGTCATTTTTTTAGTTGTTGATGGATTTTCTCCAAATATTCATCTCTTTAAAGCGTTTTTCTCTGCTTTCTACCTTAATTAGATCTTTTTACAGATTCCAGATGAAGTAATACGCGAAAAGAAGTCGATGCTATGAAAAGAAACGCGTAAGTAAATAGAAGTAATGTTTTATTCAGAAAATATACGATTTCTCGAAAAACGTCTCTAGATCTTCTAATCTTTTGATTTAAAATGTTCACTAACATGACTGTGAATGTCTTCGAATAAAAAAAAAGTAGAGTGACAGCTCGCTTTCGCGTAAAAATTGGTCTTTTGCCGGAAAACAGTGACATTTCGTTGAAAAAAATTTTTTCTCAAAAACCGTCTCTAGATGTTCTACTTTTTTTGTTTAAATAGTTCACTTACATGACTGTGAATGTTTTTCGAACCAAAAAAATTAAAGTGACAGTTCATAGAAGCAAAAAAATTTTTTTAAACGAAATTTCACTGTCTTCCGGCAAACTATCGGTTTTTTTCCGCGAAATCGAGCTTTCACTCTACTTCTTTTTGGTTTCAAAACATTCTCAGAAATGTAAGTAAAGTTTTTTTAACCAAAAGATTAGAAAAATCTAGACACGTTTTTTTCGAGAAATCGTGCATTTTCTGAATAAAACCTTACTTTCACTTACTTACGCGTTTCTTTTCATCGCATCGACTTCTCTTCGCGTATTACTTCACCTGGAATCTGTAAAAAGATCTAATTGCGTTAGAAAGTGGAGAAAAACGCTTTAAAGAGATGAATATTCGGAGAAAAATCATCAAAAACTAAAAAAAGAACTTTGCGCGTAACATAAAATGCACTGTACGCAGAGCAACACCGGCGTGTCAAAATGCACAGACTGAGGATCAAACGTTTGGTGAACGTCGCAAAAGCCGCGCCGCGCGCGTTCCTTCATCCCCCTCGTACCGCTCGCACACTGCCCTTCCGTCTAGCAGACTCCGCCCCCTGCGGTCATTGCATAGTGGAGGGCGGAACCCGCGAGATGTCCGTACATGCGACAGCACTACCCCCGCCGCACGACAGCTCATCAACTTACCTGGCTGGGGGTATTTCGTGATCACCACGACGGAATCCCCATGGCGAGGCCTGTCCATTGCACTTTTGGACGGGCTGACCCGTGTGGCAGTCTCGAGTTGAGATTCGCCAACAGTTTAATTTTTGCGTAACGGGGCTGCGTGCGCGCGGCCCTGGACAGTTCGAGAAACAAAGAGGTGCAATCAAAATGCGACCCTCTCCGTCTCTTAAGTTAAATATAAACAAAACAAAGATTTTTCAGAAATTACAAGTTTATTGATGGCAATAGATCATTAACAATATAGTCATTTCAGATAAATTAGATACAATGGGACTGTGGAAACAGCAGCTTAGTGCTTGTCAACGAAGGTGATTGGAATGGAACGTGAAGAGTTCGTCTTCTTCGGCGCCTCGATTTGCAGTTTCCGTCATTCGAAATGGCCGACTTGAGAGCGGTCAAATCGGTGTCCTCCGGCAGAAGAATCATTTTGGAGAAGGATCGCTTCGAGTATCCGTGTTCTGATTCCGTCTCCTGTTCCCCTTCGATTTTGAGTTCTCTTCCGTTCAATTCGATCTTCACTTCTTCCGGTTTGAAGTGGGAAACGTCCATTTGCACAGAGAATTTGGAGGCGTCATTGACGAGCTGAAAATGAATGAATTGGGGAATGAAATGGAGGGGAAAGGGACTCACCTCTCCGAGAGTATCCGAAAAATTGAACGAATTATGATCGGCATCCCTCCAGTACGGCAGTTGGAAGGGAAGATCATCGAAGAAGTGATCGGAAGAGAAAGGAGCACGGAGCAAGAGCATTGTGGGCGAGAAATTGGAAGTTCGCTTGAATGAAGGCGATGTGGAATCATCTGAATTCCCTTCTGCTTATATACCATTTAGAAAGAACGCCGAGATGTTTCCAGAAGGATCGAGAAGCAGTCGGAGAGTGGGCCGAACGGAGAGACGCAGAGAAACGGACGTCTGCGTCTCTTCACTCGGCACACTCGCTCGTCGCCAGCCGCCACTCTCAACTGACCGAGAAAGCGGAGGAAAGGACTAGAAGATTCGGGAACAAGTAGGGATTGGGTATAAATACGGAGGTTGAGGGCATTCCGGAGCACTCATCGAGTATCAAACTGCCCTTTTCACTCCGAAATGTCGCTGATTTTCCGTCCGAGACCCTTCTCCCTTGTCGGTGAAATGATGAGGGACATGGCCAGAATGGAGAGACAGTTCGTTCCGTTCGTCGACCGAATCGATAACTCCGCTGCTTCTGAAGTAAGTTCCTGCTCCCAGAGTATTCAGAAATCCAATTCATTTCAGATCGTCAACAACGAAGAGAAGTTCGCCGTCAATCTGAACGTTTCTCAGTTCAAACCGGAACAATTGAAAATCAATTTGGACGGCAGAAAGCTGACGATTCAGGGAGAGCAGGAGGAGAAAACGGAGCACGGCTTCTCGAAGACGTCCTTCTCGAGAGTCATTCTCCTTCCTGAAGACGTCGACGTCGCTGCAGTTGCTTCGAATCTCACTCCAGATGGAACACTGTCGATCGAAGCGAAGAAGAAGGAAGCCATCCAGGGAAGAGCCATTCCAATCCAGCACGCCGCTGTCGAGCACAAGCCCACAGAATAATTGAAATGTTTCTCCTTTATGCCATTGTTTTTACTTGTAAATTCTGATTCTCTATAATAATAAACTGTTAAATTCTGCAAAATCCTTGTTTTCTTTGTATCGAAGCCTCGCAACTTTATTGCACTTTTGTTATTTCCAAAACATTCTCCCCAATTTCAAAAGATTGTAGCTCTGTCTTCTATTCAACTAAACCGCTCCGAACAAGAAGCACTTCACTCTTGTATTTCTATTCAAAAAAGTGAAAGAAAAAGATTATTTGGATAAGTTTATTAGATAGGAAAAGCCAATTTGTGTGAATTGGAAGTCGGAATGGTTATTTATACAGGGTGGTCCACCGTTACCCGTACAAAAGTTTTACGCGGCGCGCGTAGGTACTGACGCAATTCTGGTGTGGCCCTAATTCAAAATTTTGTATATTATCATGTTTTTAACTATTTGGCCAAGTCTCAGACCAAACGGATTTGCTTCAGCCGAATAGCACCGATTAGTCTGCACCCCGTTCCCATAGTACGCTTTTTCACTGAGGGGTGAGCAGACAAACCATCATGAAATGTGATGTGGAAATGAGTCCAATATCCGTGTAAATCACTCTAAAATGCAAGCTGAGTCCGTGCCATGATTTCTTGTCCCATCAGCTGAACATGCCAATCTCAACGCGTTTTCATCGATCATGGTGTCAAAATCAGAAAAGTACGTTATGTAGATGAGACGTCAACAAAGAAACGTTTTCTTCGGTCTCACAAATACTTTGGAGAACAACATTGGGTGTTAGATTAGGATAATACGCCTGCTCACACGGCCAAGATCATTTAGCAGTGGTTCCAGGCCAATTTGGCAGCGTTCATCAAGAAGGAAGAATGGCCCGATTTCTCGCCGGACCATTTTTTGTTGGACTACTCGTTGTTGGGGTTTTACAGGCCAATATGAAGGCTAAAGCCCAGACAAGTAGGGGAGTGACAAAAAAATTCCTTGCCAGGTAGGGGGTCAATTTGTTCACGGACTTCCCGCGTGCCGCGTCAAACGGTTACTTCAGAAGTCTTCGGGCTGTCATTGTTAGGAAAGGAGGTCGGGTGCAACACTGTTAGCTTATAAATATTGTTAAACACCTTAATGAACATTTTGTTAAGTCTCATGTCTTTCTGACTTCTAGTTTTGGAATTACACAACTTTTATTTTGTACGGGTAACGGTGGACCACCCTGTAGTCTCCCGAGAGGAATTAGTAGGCGTCGTGGGGTGCTCCGCGCTCAGTGAGCAGCGGCAGTCTCTGAGTGATGGTGTCCCTTCGTGCAGCACTTCTTCTGCTCGGAGCAGTGACAACTGGGGCACTTGCAGTTTCCCTCACATCCTTCGGCACAGCACTTCTTCTCGCTCGCCTCCTCACAACAGAACTTCTCGCAGCACTTCTCGGCAGTGCACTCACACTTGTCTCCGCATTTGCATTGCTTGTTCTTGCAGTCTGAAAGGGATCAGAATGAGAAGAAGCAGTTGAGGCGGAATCGGAAAAGAACTCACCACACTTGCACACCATCTTTTGTTTTTCAGCAGCCGACTCAAATAGAAATGGAATGAAATGAGCTGCCTCCCTACTCTTTCCGAGCCCTTTTATTCGCTTTTCAGTTGTTTACGCGCCCAAAAACCAGTGACGGAGGGAGGAGTCCATCACAATGTACACTTCTGATCATAAGGTCTCTCGCATGCCCTAAAAACACTCTATCGGTCCGCTCACTGATCCTTTGACTCACCCAAACTTCCTGATTGTTCTTCGAAAACCACAAATGCCAAAGCCTATGAATTTGAGATGTTTTCCTGCAAGTTCCCGGTTCCCGTCACACCTCTAGTTTGTGTTAGTCTCTTATCAACTTTCTCTAGTGTGTCATTGCAATTAACCACGTGTTCCATATCAAATCACGTTTATTTGGAGATAAAATGTCATTTTAATGTATGATAATTAGTAGTTCAGGAATGGGGGAAGGACGGCTTCTGCCTCTCACTTCTTCTGCTCGCTCTTCGTTCCGCAGCACGACTTCTTCTCCTCCTCGCAGCAGCATTTATCGGTGGTGCATTGGCAGTTGGCCCCGCACGAACAGTTATTGCAAGCTGAAAGGGATACGAATGGAAAATAGGAAGAAAATGGGAAAGAGACTAACCACATGGACACGGCATTGTGAATTGGAAAGATGAAGAAGAAGAAGAAGCAGAAGATGAAGAAGCGAAAGAGGGAGGATTCGTGAGAGGACCTGTTTGAGGGATGAGGGAGAGAACAGGAACTGATTGTTTATGGCAAGGACGGAAGGAAAAAGTAAGGTCAAAGTACAGACAACGGGAAGAAAGAGGAGAGACGGATTAAAGCACGAGAGCTTCGTAAAAAGGGACTAGTTAGTGGAGGATCGGGGCGTCACGTGGCAACGTCTTCTTGTGAGTCTGGCCTCGTGTTGCCGTTGGAGTCGAAGGCTGGCACTGCCACTTTGCTGAAAAGCATGTTGATGCCAAGAACGGTCCCTGGACGAAGAACACATAAATGAACAAAAGAACAAGCAAACATTTATGGACACATTGCACATTGCACAGGGGACGGACGGACGGACACAATTCACTCACTGAGATCGTTCTTTGAGGGAAATATATGGGAACGAGAAAATTGAACCGTTCTTGTCCGGGAAATAGCGGACGGCGGCCGTGTATTGATGGGAACTCGATCGGCTCTCGATGTCGATCATCGAGAACATGATGAAGATTGTGTAGCCAGCGAGGCCGGCGAGCAAGTGGAACAGAGCATGAAGGTATGGAGTTCCTGCGGAGAAAGAGGGTTGAGAAGGATCGGACGATCAGAGAGTCTCACCGAGGTAGAGCCAGAAGTCGCAGAGAAGGCGGTCGGCGAACCAGAAAGAGAAGGCGGTCCCCCAGAGAGCCAGGATTCGGCCGGGGAATGACTCAATGTCCGGGATGCCAGAGCTGAATACAATTCAAGTTAAAATTCATAGTCACGTGCCAGTCCTACTGTCTTCCTTCGTAGTTGATCACAACCGCAGCCGGAATGGAGAATAGCATGAGGGCGACGGCGTTGAGATTGGGCTCGAGGAAGCAGAGAGCAGAGATGAGGGCAGTAACGATGAGGACGACCCATCTGACGAGAGTCCTGCAAAACGGAAAACGATTATATCATCTTCCATGCTATTTCTCACAATCGCTCGGAAAACTGTTTGGGAAACCATTTCATGATGGGAATGTAGACTACAAGGAACACAGTGATAATCCAAACGAGAGAGAGTTCGTCGACCAGCTGACCTGAAGGATGACGAGATGAGAGAAACACGTGGGAGGAAATGGACTAACCGAAGAGATTGAGCGTCGCGTGGTAATAGGTGGAGGCGAGTCCGTTGAAAGTGAGCAACAGCTGCGGGAAGACGAGCCCGCCGTTCACATTTTGCAGGTACTGTCGGAGCAGCATGATGTTCACGAGGGGAAGCACGATGATCGGCAAGTTGGTCACCGTGTTAGCGAACTCGGCGACGTACGGAAGCGTCTGGTACTTGTAGGCGCTCTCGCACCACGCGTGTCCCGACTCGTACTCGAACCATCGTCCGATGCCTGAATTCTCCATTTGGGTACCTGAAGAACAAAAGATTGCCGAAAATTAAATGAAAACGTGATCCGACTGGTACGAGAGAATAGATAAATGTCTGGGAGGTTTTACGAGGTTGCACTTGCCCGAATGGCTGACCAGGTGATGAAGGGTGGATCGAAATGGAAGTGGAAATGAAAATGAACAAAACAAAACAAACCGAAAAGAAGAGGAGGAGGAGACGAGCTATTGGATAGCGGTTTCTATGGGAAACAGAGTAATTTCCGAATGGCACGGGGGGAAAGTGGGAGGAGCCGGCCGCTCAGTTTCCCAACGAGGGCACAAAGCGATGATTTTAGTCATCATAAGGTGGCGGGAGGGAAGGCGGAAACATAGAGTGTTGACACGAGAATCCGACTCTCTAAACACTGTTTGTAGACTTTTGGGAGCGCATGTCAACACTCGGATACACGGGTTACTGTCGGTTGAAAACCATGTGACCACGTAAATCCAGTTGTAGTCTAGTCTCGAGCAGCCATTTCGGTGTGTGTGTTTATGAAAAACTAATGAGCAGCTCTTCAGGTGGGGCTTCTTTTCCTGACCGACTGGCTGAAGAACAAGCAATAAGAGGCCTTCTTTTGCACTTTGCAGAGGCTAGACGAAACTATACGAAATAAAGGGAGAGAGGAGTACGGTAGACAGGAGAATCTCATAAACTTGCTCATGAATTGATGGATTGACTCGGGCTCTTTGTCTGGCGCATACTCTTCTGCATAGCTAATTTGTGCCCTAAAGAGCACACAAAATGTGTCTCATTCAGGTCACAGAAAGCAGAATCTGCGAGAAGCAGGGCTCAGAGTTCGTTTTGCTCCGAGCGGGCTGACTACGGACTACACGCAAACATCTCTGGGTGGGGGGACAAAAAAGCGAGTGTGCGCGCGGGCAGACGCGGCGACGGAACCTGTGCGATCTTTTTGCGGTCTGCGGTGGTGGAAAACTGAAGATGTCGTGCGTTGGCACCTGCGGAAAACAAGAAAATATTGGGTGGCAGTGAAAGTGCGCAATGGCAGGAAATGACTGTGACACGGAGAAAGAGAGAGAAAGATGAATGAGCTGTGAAGGGGGAAGAAGACGATTCTGACATGTCAACGACTACTTCCGATCGGAAAATGTACCTGGAAATGAAGAAGAAGCTACATTTTCATTAGGAATCGTCCAAACAGCACATATTGGACGGAAAGCCGAGTGACGAATCGAATCCAATCGAATCGGACGAACGAACAAACTGATAGTGCGGCGGGGCTATTCCGCGAACGAATTATCACGAGGAATGGTCTGAGGAGGGGACCCTCGGGCGGAGAGAATGACCGACTGGTTTCGAACAATACGGCGGCCCGAGAACAAAAGTACTCGCAAATTGTATCTTTGTGTCCGTGCCTCACAAAACAATAAAAGTGGCGAGAAGACAATTCAGGGTGCGAAAAGAAAACGTCCACACAGACTGACTGCCCTTTCCAGGTCAGACCACGTCGTCGATCCGGTTCCACGCTGCTGCCATTCGGCTTGCAACAAACAGACAACGGAGAAGGAGAAGGGAGGAGAAGCCGTCGGGTGATCGGACACAAAAATGAGAAAAGATTGCAGCTATCGGTCGGTCGGTGATGGCAGCGACTGCGTAAGCGATTTTCGCGAGAGAAGACGACGGTGTTACGACATACGCATCAGTGAAACATTATCCGAACGAACGCTTTTTGTCGGTGTACATTTGTACGTTCTTGGGAGAGGGACGGGATGTTTGCCGCACGGTTCGGCGGCTACAAGTTGGAGTTGTTTGCCATTCGAACGGTTTCAAGAACTTTCCCTCTTACAACCGCTCATTTCTTCTCTCATTCACAGCATTTCCCTTACAGTTCAGGGTCATGCTTTTTCAGTATCGAGAAGGGAAACCCGACACTTTCAATTACACTTTCAAGCAGAATCATGGGAATAACTACCAGTTTATTATTGTAGAGAATCAGAATTTACAAGTCAACACATTGGCATAAAAGAGAAACATTTCAATTATTCGGTGGGCTTGTGCTCGACAGCGGCGTGCTGGATTGGAATGGCTCTTCCCTGGATGGCTTCCTTCTTCTTCGCTTCGATCGACAGTGTTCCATCTGGAGTGAGATTCGAAGCAACTGCAGCGACGTCGACGTCTTCAGGAAGGAGAATGACTCTCGAGAAGGACGTCTTCGAGAAGCCGTGCTCCGTTTTCTCCTCCTGCTCTCCCTGAATCGTCAGCTTTCTGCCGTCCAAATTGATTTTTCAATTGTTCCGGTTTGAACTGAGAAACGTTCAGATTGACGGCGAACTTCTCTTCGTTGTTGACGATCTGAAATGAATTGGATTTCTGAATACTCTGGGAGCAGGAACTTACTTCAGAAGCAGCGGAGTTATCGATTCGGTCGACGAACGGAACGAACTGTCTCTCCATTCTGGCCATGTCCCTCATCATTTCACCGACAAGGGAGAAGGGTCTCGGACGGAAAATCAGCGACATTTCGGAGTGAAAAGGGCAGTTTGATACTCGATGAGTGCTCCGGAATGCCCTCAACCTCCGTATTTATACCCAATCCCTACTTGTTCCCGAATCTTCTAGTCCTTTCCTCCGCTTTCTCGGTCAGTTGAGAGTGGCGGCTGGCGACGAGCGAGTGTGCCGAGTGAAGAGACGCAGACGTCCGTTTCTCTGCGTCTCTCCGTTCGGCCCACTCTCCGACTGCTTCTCGATCCTTCTGGAAACATCTCGGCGTTCTTTCTAAATGGTATATAAGCAGAAGGGAATTCAGATGATTCCACATCGCCTTCATTCAAGCGAACTTCCAATTTCTCGCCCACAATGCTCTTGCTCCGTGCTCCTTTCTCTTCCGATCACTTCTTCGATGATCTTCCCTTCCAACTGCCGTACTGGAGGGATGCCGATCATAATTCGTTCAATTTTTCGGATACTCTCGGAGAGGTGAGTCCCTTTCCCCTCCATTTCATTCCCCAATTCATTCATTTTCAGCTCGTCAATGACGCCTCCAAATTCTCTGTGCAAATGGACGTTTCCCACTTCAAACCGGAAGAAGTGAAGATCGAATTGAACGGAAGAGAACTCAAAATCGAAGGGGAACAGGAGACGGAATCAGAACACGGATACTCGAAGCGATCCTTCTCCAAAATGATTCTTCTGCCGGAGGACACCGATTTGACCGCTCTCAAGTCGGCCATTTCGAATGACGGAAAACTGCAAATCGAGGCGCCGAAGAAGACGAACTCTTCACGTTCCATTCCAATCACCTTCGTTGACAAGCACTAAGCTGCTGTTTCCACAGTCCCATTGTATCTAATTTATCTGAAATGACTATATTGTTAATGATCTATTGCCATCAATAAACTTGTAATTTCTGAAAAATCCTCGTCTTGGTTATAGCGTAGAAACGGAGAGACCCGCAACTTGATTGCACCTCTTTGTGTCTCGAACAGTTCAGGGCCGCGCGCACGCAGCCCCGTTACGCAAAAATTAAACTGTTGGCGAATCTCAACTCGAGACTGCCACACGGGTCAGCCCGTCCAAAAGTGCAATGGACAGGCCTCGCCATGGGGATTCCGTCTTGGTGATCACGAAATACCCCCAGCCAGGTAAGTTGATGAGCTGTCGTGCGGCGGGGGTAGTGCTGTCGCATGTACGGACATCTCG